ATATATATATATATCTATAACGAGATAATGAGAATATCGAAAATTCAAAAAAAAAAAAAATTTTTTTCTTTATCTCCATGAAATACGCATCATTATCGTATATATATATTGACCAAGTGTTACTCAAAATTCTTGCAGTTTGCGTACATACTTTGTCACTTGTAAAATATTTATAGTATCCTAGGTAAGTATTGCCTCATTGTAATATTTCCTTGCAATTTTTCATTTCATCTGACAAGACGAAATATTTTCTAGAAAAAAATGACAAAGTTGTTGTTGTTGGTGGCATGCCTTGGCATAGCTTGTCAAAATATCAGAGGCGCCGTTGTTCGAGAAAATTCCTCGAGAAAAAACTTGGCAAATACGTTGAACGTAATTTACGAATGGAAACACATTGATTATGATTTCGGTAGCGACGAAAGAAGGCAAACTGCGATTGAATCTGGCAAATATGATCGTACGAAAAATTATCCTTCCGACGTCGATCAATGGCATGGTAAAATATTTTAAATTAATACCACTATATCAAATAATTTAATATTCTAATTTTATATTTCCTAATATTTTTATATTATTATATATATTATATATATATAATAATATAATATATTTCATGTTTTGTATTTTTCGTTCAAGATAAGACTTTTGTCACTATGTTAAGATACAATGGTGTGCCTTCCTCTTTGAACGTGGTATCTGACAAAACTGGCAACGGTGGACCGCTTCTACAACCTTATCCCGATTGGTCATTTGCTAAGTATGAAGATTGTTCTGGAATCGTGAGCGCCCATAAAATTGCTGTATGATTATTTTTCCAAAATTAATTTTTCTTTCGAGAGAAAAAAAACTCGTATTGTATTGTATTGTATTATATGATACTTAGATCGACGAATATGAGAGATTGTGGGTTCTGGACTCGGGTCTTGTCAATGATCAATCCATGTGCTCCCCAAAATTGCTTGCCTTCAATCTGAATACTTCACAATTGCTTAAACAAGTTGAAATACCGCATAATGTTGCCGTAAATGCCACTACAGGAAAGGGTAGATTAGTATCTTTAACTGTTCATGCTATGGATTCTGTAAATACTACGGTGAGTTTAAATTATAAAAGTAATTAAAAATTTTCAGTTTCTTAGAAATTTTTTAAATTATTTTTTTTTTTTGTATTATTTCTTATATAATGAAAATTCTTTATATGGTTTTAAATTAGAGATAATAATATTGTAATATAGTATATACTGCAAATAAAATTGTAAATAAAATTTATAATTTTAAAAATAGTAAAATAATTCTTGAACTTAGATCAAAGAATTGAAATTTACAATATTATATACTATTTATAAAAAAAAAAAAGAATAATTTTGTAGCTTTCTTTGATGTTTCTCATTAACAGAAAGATCTATCACGTTAAATTTTCTTGTAAATCATTAATTTTTGAAATAAATTGAAAAATAAATTAAAAAACAAAAATGAATATATTTTCGATATTCTTTTAATTTGGATCATTAACATTTTAAATATTTTATATTTGATAAACTATATTATAATTTGATAAACTTATATCATTTTATTCGAGAGAAATCGTTTTCTATCAAAAACAACTGAATAATTACTATTCTAATAAGTATAAAATATTTTTAGAATTGAAAAAATATAATTTTTCTTTTGTATTCTGGAAAAATAGTCTACAGATTTGCATTTAACATTAAGATTTATAAGAAACACTTACTGAAAATTACAAAACAAATTAAAATCATTAACATATTATTATAATTTATTATAATAAATTATTATAATATTATAATTTATTATAATATGATAATAATACAACAGGTGTACATAGCAGACAACGGAGATGATGCTTTAATCGTCTACCAAAATGCCAATGATTCCTTCCATCGATTGTCTTCCCACAATCACAATTCTAGATCTGACAAAGTATCGCAAGAAAATCTCACTTTGCAAGAAGTAGACAACAGAGTTTCTGGAATGGCACTTAGTCCCGTGACGAATAATCTTTATTACAGTCCTCTCTCTTCTCAGAATTTATATTATGTTAACACAGAATCATTAATGAATTCGCAAAATCAAGGAAATGACGTGCAATATGAAAGGTAAATACAAAAATAAAATTTGTTGAAATAGAATAGTTCATTGTTATATACAGTGTATTTATATGGAAATTTATTTGGAGGATTGATTTTAAAATAATGTTTCTTGATTTATGAATCGTGATATATAATTTTGAAATATTTTTTAAATAGCACATCTTCTTCAAAATATTCGATTTTTTTTTTTTATGAAACGTTTTCAATCTTGAGAAACATTATTAGATGAAATATAAATAGTCTCTATCACAATGCTATTCATCTCTCTATTCAATGCAAATTTAAATTGCTTATTATTAATAAAAAATAAATCTAAGCATTGAAATAAATCTAAAAATCAATACTTTAGATAAGTTCTAGAATATCTTGTACATTTTCATTTAATTTCATTTTTTATTAATTTCAGAGTCCAAGACGTTTTCAACAGTCAATTATCCGTTAAAGCAGTATCGAAAAATGGCGTAGTCCTTTTCGAACTCGCGAATAATACTCTTGGTTGCTGGAACGAGCATCAATCACTTGACACACAAAATATCGTTAGTAATTGCGAATATTTTTTAATCTTCTTTTTTTTTTCTATATTTTCTTGACACATTTCTTTTTACCAGATACTATTGCCATATTAATAAACATGAATTTCGACATGAAAATATATATATATATAACGTCATATCCCTACTGCTACATTTGACAGAAATACGAGTCATGTGACTCGAGTCATGTGATGTATCCTTATACAGCAGTAGTAGTGGGGATAATGATACTTCACTTATTCTTTTCATACAAAAATCTCAAATACGATGTTTAATAATGTACAAACAAATTTCTCTCTAGATTTATAAAATGAATCTTTTCCTTCGTGTAAATTAATAATTAATTTCGTTTTTCACTTAATTTTCTTTTAATTGATTAAAAGATCAAAATGTATAAAATTTTTGTCAAAAAGTTATAGATACATTATTAAATGATCGAATTTATTTAATCATTTATATTTTTACATGGAAACAAATGTTTCTTAGAAAGAAATTTTATTTTAGATAAAAATGAAAGCATTTTGAAATTACAGGATGTTGTAACTCGGAATGGGACGCTTCAAATGATCGTTAGTATGAAGATTAAGCAAAATCCTCCACATTCTGGCAGAATTAATAATACGCAAAAAAATGAATATTTGTTGGTTTTAAGCAACAGAATGCAGAACAACAATCTTAATCTAAACAACAATCTTAATCTCAAACACATGAACTTCCGAATTTTGGGTACTAATGTAAACGATTTAATACGGAATAGTCGTTGTGCAAATTCTGACAATCAGGATAATAATCAACATAATCGTAATCGTAATCAACATAATCGTAATCGTAATCGTAATCAAGCTCGTCATTCTTCAAAATCTGACAATCAAAATAACAATCACAATAACAATCAAGCTCATCATTCTTCAAAATCTAATAATCAGAATAACAATCAACATAACAATTAAATTCATCATTCTTTAAAATCATATTAAAATCTGTTAATTAATTTTTTCTTGATGTAAGTCAGATATTTTAAAAAATTTCATTACATTATAAAACGAATAAAATAAATATCGTTTTTCGCATAATAACTTTCACTTTTATTGCCCTAATTTTATAAAAATTATAATAATTGAAAGAGTAAATATTAGTAACAATAATTAGAAGTAACAATAATAGAAATAAATAAAAATAACAATAATTTAAAGAGTTAAATAAAACAATTTGAAATAGTTGAATAATAGGATATCAAACGTGAAAGAATTACTTAAAATGAGAGTTATTTCATTGGTTTTAACGCTTTTGCAAGATGTCAAGATTATCGATTTCATATTTAATATAAACTTAATTCTTATAGTTATTCTAGCATTAATATATTCTGATTATTAACTGACTAGAATGAAACAAAAATATTCGAATTTTCTTTTATGCAGATTCTTGTATTGCTAAAAGCAGCCAAGGTCAAATATGTTGTCACATGACGTGCTTTTGTAACATAATAGTGCCAGAGTGGATAATATGACATCACAGTTTTTTCTATACTAGAAATTTTTCTCAGAAGAAAATAAGCCAATTTTAATGATAGAAACACATTGAACATGGATTAGAAAATTAATATTTTACAAATTATAATTTTGTGTTTGGATTAAACATATTAAACAAATTTTGCACAATTTTTTGTAAATATTTTACCATTTTATTTCAAAGAAGTGTTTCAATAAAAATAAAATGTATATGATTAATTTCTTAACTCACTCTTTTACTTGATAAATCTGAACAAAGATGAAACATTAAATGCAGGCAGAATCAATATTTTCATAGAATCCAAAACAAGTGCGAAAATTAATGTGATGATCAAGGTTTATTTATTAAATTATTTTGTGTTTGGAATTTGGAGTTACATTAAATGAAGATAAAAATAGATTGAGATAGGTTTTGTCTCTATCACATTTTATCATTTTCTTCGTATAATCTAACATTAAATTATTTGTATTTTGGTAAGTAAACTTCAATCGATATCAACTTTTATATGATTCTTATACTTTTTAAATCAACCCTTCGAAGATATTTTAAAAATGTATTAATTCTTTTCATATTTTTGTGTAACAGGTGTTAGCTGACAACATAAATTACGCATTATCATTTACATCAATTTCGATTTGGAATATATTCGATTATAATCTGGAATATGATATATTCACAATTGGCGAAAACAATTTTTCAAAAAAATATGAAATTTGGGATTATTTAAAAACAGTGGAGCTTACAGAATTATATGATCAAATCAACAATCTACAATATATCAGTAAATACGATAATTTATTTTTAATTCAAAAGCCAAAATATTTTATGACTCAAAGAAAGAATGTTTTGAATTATCATTGTTTTTTTCGAATTTATAAATGATTGTTGAAATGAGAATTGACTATAGACAGAAAAGGATATCGTTATTGATTAAAAATATTTTCTAGACTTCTTTTTTTTTTTTTTTCGTTAACAATTTGATCATCAAAAATTAAATTGCATTAAAATTTTTCATTTTAAAAAATTTAAGTTCTTCTAAAGATATGCATAAAAATTATGCGTTTAATAATAAACATGTTTCTATCATCATTTATAAAAAAATATTTTACTTATTATTATTAAATTTATGCGATGAGATAAAAATACAGAAAAAGATTAGAAGTGTTAATTAATTTTGACGAATACAAACAAGCTTTGTGAAAATTAATGTTATAAACATGTTACAAGTGATAGTGACACTATTAGCTAGTAATATATATCCAAATAATCATTTATTTATTCACTTTTTACTTTCATAAATTATTTGTTACTTTTTTTTATTTGTTTCAAATAATAGAATTGTTATATTTTTCTACAAACATAAAAAAACATATTTTGATCTTCACACGAAAATTAAATAAACATGTTTGTAACATGTATAGTCATGTAGTAACAAATATTTTAAATTATCGAATCGATTATATCAATAAATATTTGATGAAGAAAGAAAAATAAAATTATAATAAATTAAAATAATTAAAAAATTGTAGGATCACTAATAAAAAGACTTTATAAATTATTAACGATTTGAAACTTAAAATTTTATTAATTTTCATATTTGTTTATAAAAATATGTTCTTTCAAATTTTGAATTCGGATGTGAATATACATTGATAGAATACACTGATTGCATCCAAATTAACATGCA